AGAATTTCTCCTTACAATATCAATACAATGTCAACCAGATAAGTGATAAGAATATAGCAAAATATCAATTTGGGGATAATAAGTCGATCCAATACTAACTTCTCTGAACTAACATTATTAGAATAGTGTTTGACATTTAGGAGAATTACAAATTTGATCTGGGAGTTAAAGGGTTAATTGGAATGGTCAAGGGATGAAAATGTGTCACATACAAAAAGTCATGTAACATTCATAATTTTTGAAGGGGTCACAATCATTCTTTTTGTTACAAGCTTCCTAGAGTAAGATGTTCTCTGCTCGAATTGGTTTTTCATGCCTTGTCTTTCTAACCTTACATGATTTCTCAACACTAGAATAATGAAAACATGCTATTTAATGTCCAAAATTTTTTTGTTTAAATTTAATTTTTCCATTTCATGTTCACATGTTCATGTTTTGAAATGGTTCATTGGTTAGGTGTAGTGTCTTGACTGTATGTCATTTTCTTCAACTGTGCAAAACTCTAGACATGCAGTATAGATATTATAGCTAAGAATGATGTAGGATTTTCGTTAAGAAATGGAGTAACAGGAGAATAGAGTAAAGTAATGGGAGAATATTCTTCACATTTAAGTAAAATAGCTTAACCATTAAAATTAGCCAAAGAATTCCAGCAACCTGGGAACTGTCCATTTCCTTGAGCAAAACAAAAACACCAAATGCTCCTTTGAACCACCAAAACTTTCAGATGTTTATTACTCTACATGATAGCAACACAATGCGATTTAACTTAATTACCAATACTCCTTAACAATTATTTGTTTTATTATTAGTGTGATATTTGGGCAGTTGGCATAACAGCCATTGAACTAGCAGAGCTTCAACCTCCCATGTTTGACTTACATCCTATGAGGTGAGTTCAAAACTCTTCCTTGCATTTGATGAATATGTCCTCAAATTTTTAAATTAATGTGGCTTACAATGTAGGCCAGGCTTAGCAAAGGAGTTATAACATTCAGATAACACCAGAAAATGGAAAAAAGAAACGGAATTGCTATAATAATTGTAAGACAAAGATAGGATCTGAGTTCCCCTCCAGGAATCAAACCCTAGAGCTTTGGATAATGGTTCGGATGATCTATAAGATAAAACAGGAGTTGGGTACAGGATAACTAGTTAGGAAACTGAATGAACAAAAGTGATCTTCATAGTAACAAAAACGAGGCCTGAAAAAAAATTCAGGACTGTACAGGATTGGAACTCATGACCTCTGTGATACCGGTGCAATGCTTCTAGGTACTAACTGAGCCCACAAACCAACTGAGAGCTGTCAGTAAAACATTTTTTTTATTTCTTTCATTTTGAAGGGCATTATATTACATTGGAAAAAGAAGTTTTGTACCACCTACTTTAAAAGACAAGGACAAATGGTCAGTATTGTTATTGTGAACTTTTTCATGCAATGACAAGGATATTAGTGCTGACAACCTTCTTTCAATTGCTGATATCCATGTCTAATACAAGTAGGCATGTCCACAGGTTGAAAAGATTGTGGGAACATTGCCAATGTGTCACAGTCTATAATATCATGGCAAAACTGCCCTGTCTGTTTTTATAAAATAGACTCGTAACACTTTACTGACAAACAACTTCCCTTTTGACTCTTTTGGTGAGGTCTCCACAGTTTGTCAAAATGTCAGACACTGCTATGGACAGCAGTCCTCATCAGGGCAAGGACTACTCTCTCCTTAGCAATCAGACTACATAATTGGCATGACCTCACTTTTTTCTTTCCTCAGCAATCAGACTACATATTTGACATGACCTCACTTTTTTCTTTCCTCAGCAATCAGACTACATATTTTGCATTAAGTCACTTGTCCTCTCACAGCCATAAAATTCTTGTCATTCCTTTTCCTTTTACTCTTCTTACCAATTTCACTCTGCTCCCATGATTCTGCTTATCTTGTTCATGGCCATTTATTACTCTCATCTGAACAATCAGACATCACCATTGTCCGTTGACAATTTAAAAAATTTTGACATTTAATTTTTCTAGGTCCCCAGAACTTCATAGTTTTCTAAAGACAGCTCTACAGAAAAATCCAAAGAAGAGACCCACTGCAGACAGATTGCTAACAGTAAGTGCACTTTATTCCAGAGTTTTTATTTATTGCTTTAATCCCTGTGGCTTACTTGTCTAGCATCTAACTTCTCACCAAGATTTCACTGTTGAATCCTCACTCAAGAATTAAAGAAATGATTGCAAGCTTGAAAATGCTTTTGATTTTCCAGCTGAATTCAGTCTAGCAAGCTTAGTTGGCAGGTTTATTGCAAGAGTTCTTAAAATCGATGCTTGGTCTCAAAGAGATCTCTGAAGGAAAAAGTGTATGCACCAAATTTGTACATTATCAATGGGGAAATTTGCTCCAAGTAGTGTGGAAAATGAGTCAAACGGAGTCAATTTTTCTGAAATGTTTTTTGGTTTTTTTGATCACTTTTCTCTGTCATGAATCTTACATAACTTTTCTGTTACAGCATCCATTTTGTGGCCATGGCTACACCAGAGCAGTTATACAGGACTTGTTAGACACATACAAGAGGAAAAAAGGAGATAAGGGGAATATCGCAGGACCAGGTGATGATGATGATGACGAAGATGATGCTGCTCCAGTTGATGAGGTAAGATTATTAAGATCTGTCATGTGACTGCTGCTTTTTCCTAGGGTTGTACTAAAGAAAGTAGGCTGCCAGCTGAAATTTCAAGTGAGGCAGTGTAAAGATACAGTTTGTTATTGAACAATTGTAAGCACACAATCTCAGATGCCTGTTGCACTTTTTTCAAATGACTGCTGGCCAAAAATACAGCTGGTGATTGCCTGTATCTCATGCGGTGAATTTGACTGGCAGCAGGGGCTTAACAACAACCCTGGTTTCCTATATCCCGTGCATTTTTTCCATCAAGCTTCTCGTGGCACCATTTATTGAGCTGTGGAGCTTTTTCAAGCCCTGCTTTAGCCATTGTGTGTGGCCATCAAACTTGCACTGTTTTTCCAGTGTGTGCAAGGCCATTCAAGTCACATGACAATTAAATTGT